GGAGCAGTACAGAAGTCGATTTTAAGAGCCCTTTAGGTCGACGGAATGGGGTTGCTTGTGTAGATGCATTCATTATAAAATCGACCTAACGTGACTAAATTCGACCTAACCCTGTAGTGTAGACCAAGGCTAACTCAAAGGATGATGAAGATGAACATGCATTGGTCCACATTGTTTTGGATCATTATCTAGCAGAACCTATCATCAGCATGGACGCATGTCCTCTGGAAAGGTGGTTGAAGCATGAAGGGACATATGAATCTTTAGCGCATCTGGCACATAAATATCTTGCGACACCAGCTACAACAGTGCCACGCAAACACCTGTTCTCACTTTCAGGTGACATAATTAAGAAGTGGGTAGCATTATGTCCCGTAAATGTAAACAAACTTGTTTCTCTTAGCAATTGGCTGAAGAAGAAGTAGGACTGAGTGGACTTGTGGGCTCTAAATTTTTACATTGTTTTATTTTTGAGTGCAGGTTTTTTTGTACATAATTCTACATTTGTACGTTCAACTTTCATGATAAAGAGATTGCACTACAGTACTTGTATGAGGTGAACTGAAAAATACGATCTCTTTTGTTTATTATTTTTACAGTGCAAATATTTGTAATCAAAATAATATCAAGTGATCACTGTACACTTTGTATTCTGTGTTATAATTGAAATCGATATATTTGAAAAGAAGAAGTCCAAAGCAACCCCTCATTACAAGACAGACTGGGGCAAGATCCAATGTGGCCACATCCCCATGAACTTTCAAACTCCATTTTTTAAACTTTATTGATATTTTTGTGTTAGGTGCCGTGGCTCGTGCCTGAAATCCCAGCTACTTGGGAAGCCAAGACTGGCAGACCACTTGAGCTCAGGGGTTCTGGGCTGTGGTGTGCTATGCCGATCAAGCATCTGGTGCCACTGACAGCTTGGCCAGCGGGTGGCTGAAGGACAGGCTACAACAACACGAATGGCGTGTTGTGACTGGTGCTCTCTCTGTGAGGGCTGATGGCCCAATTGATCAAGATGAGGAGGTGATATTGTTTGTATATAAAATAAACATATAACTAAATGAAATACCATATAAATAACAAAATTCAATGTTCATTATTTGTAAAACCTGAAACAAAACAAACCCTGAACCCATAGTGGTGGTGCAGGGTATCAATTATTAAAGTGACTAAATAGATAAAATGAGAACATACCCTAGGAGTATCGGGGACTAATATATACTAAATTGCAAAAGTATGCAGTAGGGTCATGTGTGACCAGATATCCTCATTTTTTCCCAAGCGTTTCTATTAGATCAAGTCATTTTTTTCCATTGCTGCAACAGTAGAGCGCTCGTTAAGCCAGTCTATGTCTGAGAGAGGAATTGCAGATTTCCATGTTCTCAAATTAACTCTTTTGGCCACTAAAAATTTACTGCAACTTCTTAATGTTAACTGGTATTACCAATTCATCCCTAAAATATACAAGCTTGGAGAAGGAAAGATAGCAACAGTTAAAGTTTGAGAGAGCACTGAATATGGTGTTCCAGAACACATGCATTTTTTGGACAGATATAGAGGTTGTGTGAAAGATTGGCTTGTGACTGTTTGCATCTCAACATTCAATGTGTTGCCAGTTTAGCTTTAAGCCAATTTAGCTTTAAGCTTTAAGTCCAGTAGTGCCTGTTTAATATCTTGTTCTGGAAGAATTGCAAGGATAAAGAACTTGAAGTATCTTTCACATTATGCCAGATATTCTCCCATGTTTCTTTTGTTATGATAAGGCTACATTCTTTTTTCCATTTTTCTTTGAGACTGAGATTGAGAGGGTAATTGAGGGAGTAATGCAGAGTTGGGGTGGGGTCTGGGCAGTTGGGTTGCAGGGGACAGGCTCTGGGAGGGAGTTGGAGTGCAGGGGGATGGGCTGGGGCACAGGGTTGGGGTGCAGGAGGAGGGGCGGGGGTGGGCTCTGGAAGGGAGTTGGGGTGTGGGATTTGGGCTGGGACAGGCAGTTGGAGTGCAGAGGACAGGCTCTGGGAGGGAGTTAGGGTGTAGAGGACAGGCTGGGGCAGGAGGAGGGGGACGGGCTCTGGAATGGAGTTGGAGTGCAGGAGACGGGCTGGGGCAGGATTAAAAAAAGAACTAGATAAATTCATGGAGGATAGGTCCATTAATGGCTATTAGCCAGGATGAGCAGTAATGGTGTCCCTAGCCTCTGTATGCGAGAAGCTGGGAATGAGCGACAGGGCTTGATCACTTGATGATTACCTGTTCTGTTCAATCCCTCTGGGGCATCTGGCACTGGCCATTGTCGGAAGACAACATACTGGGCTAGATGGACCTTTGGTCTGACCCAGTAGGGCCATTCTTATGTTCTTATCTTTTATTTGACCAACTTTTGTTGGTCAAATAAAAGATAAGAAAACAAAAGTTGGTCAAATAAAAGATATTGCCTCACCCACCTTGTCTCTCTGCTTCAAACATATTAGCCTATGTATTTATGAGGCTTTTCAATCAGATTAAGTTAAGTCAATTGTATTAATGCAGTTGAAAATTTTCAAAACTGAAAATATGAGGAATGAGTTAATTACATACGATGCACTGTCATTGTTAGTGATCACATGGAAGCCAGTAGGATATTATAGTACAGTTAAACACTCATTTAAACTTGTTACAATACACTACTGCTATCTTGGGTTGCCCCCTCTAAATTTCTAAAGTGGGGTTCCAGACACAGTTTATTTTGTCTTCACAGCAATAATATTTCCACTTTCACATAGATATACAGTGTTAGCCTGCAAGGAGTAGGAGCTTAAAACTTTCCTGGGAATGTTTGACTGTCATACACGCCATATATGAGCAAAACAATGTTTCCGACCAATAACATTCACCCCCATTTCCAAATTATTAAACCATTCCACATAATTTATGCATTTAATTAAAATTTGCATTGCATCTGACTTTCCAAATAATCTTGTTAACTTGTGCTTATGAAGAAATTTACAAAAACAATACTCCTTAGTCACTAACATACTGGAGCTACTTACATCAGTTTACCCTTAGAATAGTTCCAACTGTTTTAATACACTTGAACTGTGGCTCCCAAACTTAGTTTTGGAGCCCCACTGTAATATGACAGGTTTCAGAGTAGCAGCCGTGTTAGTCTGTATCCGCAAAAAGAACAGGAGTACTTGTGGCACCTTAGAGACTAACAAATGCATCCGAAGAAGTGGGCTGTAGCTCACGAAAGCTTATGCTGTAATAAATTTGTTAGTCTCTAAGGTGCCACAAGTACCACTGTAATAGTGGCCCATACCATTCAGGACTCAAAAACTCATGATACTTATATTTCCCAACCTCCCTATCTAAGAAGGTAGCATCTGACTTTATGATGAGAAACTAGGACCCAGAGGTATTCCCTGAGGAGACAGCACACCTGCAACTAATTTTCAAAAGTAAATATATGAAGTGGACAGTCTCTTTGGAAATTTGCTGCTGTTGCTAAGAGAAAAAACTACTCCTAATTACTGAAGGACTGTTATAAATCCATGCACTTTTGTTTAATTGAGTTGTGAGCCTTGTTTAAATACACATCTGGAGGAACAGAAAGCTTCAGTGATGGAGCTTCACTTTTTGTTGGCTCTGTAGAATAAATAACCAACCCTTTTTCCCCCCAAAAAAACCAAAAAAACATTTTAACAACTGTAGTAAAAGGAGCTCTTGTTGATTGTGAGAAGGACTTTGGAACTGGACTTGCTCACCCCCCCCTTGAGACAGACTGACCGGCACACTCTTAACCCCATCTTCCCCACCACTATCACCAAGATATCCCCCTGCAGTTATCACCTTCTCTCCATTTTTCTATTTTCTGTCTCTTACTCCTGGCTTTTATTAGCCTTTGTATCTATTTTGTGTCTCTTTTCCTGTGTGATTTTTTTGGCCTTCTATTTTCTGTCACACTTCCCCCCCCCCTTGTTATTTTGTTCTTTCTCCTCCTTCTTTTCTCCCCTCCCCCTTTCCCCCCAACACCCTCAGAGAGACCATGATGTACACACACACTACCTTAACCAGAAAACTATATACTGCTTAGGGTGGGAAGTCTGAGTCCATTGTTTGCTCCAGGAGTGGAAAAACCAACTGCTGCTGTTTTGTTTGTTTGTTTGAACAAACAAACAAAACAAAACAGCAGCAGTTGGTTTTTCCAACAAACAAACAAACAAACTGAGTATCAAGGGAGCAAAGAAGATTAACTTGGGCTGCTGAAGTGTTTGATCTTGCAGCCAAATAAATCTGAACAGATCCCATGACTGATTTCAACAGGGGTCATCCCAGAAGAAGAGAGTGTTAGAAGAATTTGCCTGATGCATTAGTCACATCTGCAGGAGCACATCTAGGGAGGGGGACAAGACAGATCCAGATTATGCAGCTTTCCTTATCCCCCCTAGAGTTCTCCTTTGCCCTGCCCTGCTTCCATTTCCCCAACACACAAAATGATACTATTTCTATTATAAACTAACATATAATACTGAATATTAAAGCAGAATTTAAAAGCCTTGGAACTCACTTCCAATGCAGCATGATCCAAATGTTATTTCAGTCTATATATAAAACCAAGGTAAGTTCATAACTAAATCTCTTCATGAGAAGGGACAAGCATTTTTCACTAAATGAGATTGAGGAGCAGTTTATACTCAAATTGAAAAATCCTATTTGGCAAAGGTGATCAGTAACTCCTTTGGGTTTGACGTAAGCCTTTAAATATTACAGTTAAACAATAGATTACTTAGAACCTATACCAACTTGAAGCACAGTCTTGATCAATTGAATTATCTTGCAGTTAGTTAATCTTTTAAATCCACCGGTTAAAAATGGGAAAGAAATTCAGATTGAAAAGGACACTTAAAATCATTTAAAAGCCAATTGTAGAATCATTTTTAGTTTCTAAACTTGCTGTCTGATAAAATCCTTTTAAGTGAAGCACTTGTAGAAACCTGTTGTAACCTATTCTTGCTTACCTTATTGTGCTGGCTAATGCCTTCGCTGCAGTAGTTTGGTTCAGAAATTGCTCAGTCACATCCAATTTATTCACTGAACATATGGCAGAGAGCCAGACCAAAAAAGAAAAAAGGTTGGATGTGGACGTAGTCCTTTCACAGGATGAAATCATGAATGCTTGCTGCAGTCCTACACCCACACAGCCACAAAAGTCCAACTAAATAGCCGTTGTGCAAGAGGACTCTATGGGGTTTGGACATGATCGAAACAGGCAATCTTTTCTACATTCCAATTATTCTAGATCTACCCAAATGATGGAAAGAAATGCCCAGTGATTTGCTAGTGCCAGACACTTTTCTCAAAGGGCCAGCTGCTAGAAATAAGACTTTCTTCCAGTAAGTATGAAAAGAAAAACACATGGGAAAACAAGGTCAATATTAGTAATGCAATTTGAGTAGCCTGTTAAACTTGGCAAACAGTTTTAGGACCCGATTCACAGCCTTTCAGTTGGTGAAAGAGTAATATAACAGGAGCATGGCCAACAGACCACCCACTTTATGAAAAAAAGGGGGAAAATAAGGGCCAAAAATCAAAACCTTAAGCACAAAAATACAGCATCTAAATATGGACAATTTGATTCTGATGTCTTGCCAGCTTTATGTTGGTGGAAGAGTTGGTCCACAAATGGTTAGGGTTGCCAACCCTCCCGGTTTCACCGGGAATCTCCCGGAATCAGGCCCCATCTCCTGGAGGCTATTGAAGCCAAACTGGGAGATTTTAGGCTCCCTACCTGCCCTGGCCCTGCGCTGCTCCTGGAAGCGTTCGGCAAGTCCCTGCGGCTCCTGGGGTGGGACAGGGAGTCTCCGTCTGCGCCCTGAGTGCCGACTCCGCAGCTCCCATTGGCTGGGAACTGCAGCCAATGGAAGCTGCAGGGGCAGCACTTGTGGGTGCGGGCAGCATGCAGAGCCCTCCCCCAAGGGGCCACAGGGAGGTGCCGGCCGCTTCCAAGAGCAGTGCAGGGCCAGGGCAGGCAGGGGGGCTGCGTTAGGCCCGCTGTGCTGCCACCCAAGGTAAGTGCATCCCGGCCAGATCCCACACCCTTCATCCCCTCCTGCCCCCCAACCTGCTGTCCCAGCCCTGAGCCCCCTTCCAGAGCCAGCACCCCAAACTCCCTCCCACACCCCCTGCCCCAGCCCTGAGCCCCCTCCAGCACCCAAACTCCCTCCCAGAGCCTGCACCCTTCATCCCCTCCCACACCCCAATCCCTTGCCCCCCCAGCCCTGAGCCCCCTCCAGCACCCAAACTCCCTCCCAGACCTTACACTCCACACTCCCTCCTGTACTGCAATCTCCTGCCCCAGGCTCAGCCCGGAGCCCCTTCCCATACTCCAAACCCCTCGGCCCCAGCCCAGAACCCGCACCCCCTCCCACACCCGAACCCGCTGCCCCAGCCCGGTGAAAGTGAATGAGGATGTGGGAGAGTGAGCAATGGAGGGAGGGGGGATGGAGTGAGTGGGGCAGGGCCTCAGAGAAGAGGCAGGGTGGGGGCAGGAGGTGCGGCAAGGGTGTTTGGGTATTGTCTAACTCCTAATTCAATGCAGAAATACAAATTAGGCTGTGGCAATGAAGTGTTGGTATCAAAAGTTCCTCTGAGACGTTTCTTCAATGTAATGTTTTTTTCAAAGTGGTGAAGATAATAACTACATTTGGTTTTAGGGACTGTTTTACAGCAGCTTCCTGAAACAGACAAAGTCTGACACAGCAAATCTATCAATGCATTTTTGTTCTTGGAACGTGCAGTTCTGAGGAGCAGTTTTTTCTAAGAACTAATATCCATTGTTATCGTGCTTCTTTTCTTGTTCACATAGGATACTACAGTTGTACTATATAGGCTATAGCATACTCATTTTTAGTCCTATCTGCTGCTTACAATACTTCCAAACTGTCATTAACTAGTTTGATTTCTTGCTGAGCAATAAAGCTCTTCTTTTCTTGCATTGTATGCCATTCAAAACTGTAGTCTGTCCTCACTTTAAAGCATTTGGGCACATCTCTAAGGTGCCACAAGTACTCCTGTTCTTTTTACTTATGGCTTCATTTACACCTATTTAACCTCCTCAACTTCTGAGGTGTTGTCTGGGTACAGCTGAGGGCAGAATCTGGCCTTGTACAACTAATAAGCTTTGAAAAGATTGCTGATGACTGTATTGATTTGGCCTGCACAACGTGATCATGTCTATACTGTACTAGAATCTTCCAATCCCAAGAATACTTCCTCCTTAAAAATACACAGGAAAAAAATGTGAAAGATAATGCCCAGGGCCCTTCTAATGCTGCCAGCTGCTTGTGTATTTCTCTGAGTTCTAAATGCTATACTGAATGTTATTACAATTGTTTCCTACTTATTGTGAGCCAGATTGTGCTTGATCCGTACATAGACCACAGACATGAAGGGGAAGAATCCTGAACAAGGGAGTTCTTGTATTAATTTTGATGGAGTGTTAAAGGTGTTAGCATGACCCTGTTATTGTTTAACATTAAGCTGTTTTAAACAAGATTTGGGGTTTAGTATACAGCAGTGGTTCCCAAACTTTAACAACCCGCGAACCCCTTTCACAAAAATATCAAATCTCGTGAACCCCCTCCTAAAAGTGAATATTTCCAGGGATTTTCTCCCTTACCTGAGCATAAATGATAGAAGCAGTGATCATGGAAATCATTTGGTTTTTTTATGACACGTTTATTGCACGCTATTTATTATTACATTATTATTTATCATTGCATTATTAATTTTATTACATTATGAAAACGGCAACACTCTTCCAAAGTATGTATTTAAGAAGCCAACTCAAATAAAGAGTTCCTCCCACAAGCATTCGGGTCATGAGCAGTCCAGGCAAACCAAATATGACTATAACACAGCTTAAACTTGTTTTTCATAATAATTTTAAAAACAACACTAGCAGCCTATTTAATTTTAGAAACAGCAAAAAATATCCACCTCCCTTTCCATTTCTCATAAGGAGTCTTGAAGTTTAAATCTCCTCAGTGTGATGGATGCACTTGCTTTGATTTGCATTGCTCTTGGAAGTCTGGAACCACTGAAGAAAGAGTCTCAGGTCTGGTTGAGCACTGAGTCTGCTTTTGTATTTGGTTTACGAGTAAAATGCTTTCTCGCATAAGTATGTTGTTGAAAACGGTAACAAAATGATAGTAGCTTTTTCTGCCAGTAGGGGGTACTCGTTTCTTAAACTCAGCCAAAAGTTGATCAATGACAGACTTCTGAAACTCCTTTTCAGTTCATAATCACCAGACATCTCAATCAATTTCTCTTTTTCCTCAGTGCTCAATATCTGCGTTGAGAAAGTGGTATCATCAAAGGGGTTTTGAATCCAGTCATTATCGCCTGACAGAGCTGGAAAGTATTCCCTGAACGTTGTGTAAAGTCCTTTTAGATGTGCAGTTATATTGGTTTTAGTGCATTGATCCAACCAAAGTTTATGTTCTGCCAGGAAGTCATGAAGAGTACTGAAACACTCAGTTTGATTGTTTTCCAAAAACCTTTCCCAGAACTGAGACTTCTTTATCATGGATTCAACTTGGTCTTGCATGCTGAAAACTGTTATATTGAGGCCTTGGAGATAAATTTAGGTCATTAATCCTCGAGAAAATGTCTGCTAAATAAGCTAGGCTCTGGAGCAAGACATGATTTTCCATACAGTTGGCGAGGTGGAAAGGGTGACTGTTGAAAAAAACAAGGATTTCTGTTTTAAGCTCAAATAAGCGCATAAGGATTTTGCCACGTGAGAGACATCTAACTTCGGTATGGGACAACAGACAATTGTTTACACTACCCATTTCTTCACAAAGTACATGAAATATTCTGGAATTTGTTGGCCATGATTTTATGAAATTCACCATTTTCACTGCATTGTCTAGCACTTCCTTCAGTCCCTCAGGCATGCGTTTTGCTGCGAGGGCTTGCCTATGGGTACTGCAATGAGTCCAAGAGACATTTGATGCAACCTTTTTTGTTCAAGCTACAAATCTGGTATACTTTCCCATCATTGATGTGGCCCCATCAGTGCAAATGCCTGACGGGCAATGAGACAATCTTTCTTTTTCTTGTGTGGAGGAAAATGGCCTAAGGCCTAAACTTTGGCTAAACTTTGGTCAAGTGAATGGTATGTATGGTCAGGTGAACTGTATGTGTGGCCTGGAGGAAGGAGGAGGGGGGAGGGAGGGTAAAGGAAAAAGGTAGACAGAAACTACAGAAACAGAACTAACCGTTTGTAACAGTCTATGATTAATAGCTGCCAGGTGGCAGAGCAAACCGCAAAGGCACAACTAAGAAAAATAGGAGAAAGCTTGCTTTGCTTCATCCCTTATATGGATGTAAAATTTTAAGAAAGTATATGTAATTTTGTGGCTTTATCCTATATAAGCTCTCGTATTTTATCCATTGGGGGGGGTTCGGCTACCTTGGCTGACTCCCCCATGCTTGCATGTTCGATTAATCAATAAAGGAGCCTCAGGCTGTCTGATCAAAATCAATCGTGTGGTTGATTTTCCACAACACTTGAAAATATACATTAGTCAGATTGAAGATATCTTCTCCAGTTGTACGTTCTTTCCGGCAAAACAACAAATCTTCTTCAATCAGACCTTCATTCACATAATGTACAAACACTAGCAAAATAGATAGATTAGCAACATCAGTTGATTCATCCAACTGTATAGCATAATATGGACTATTTTTCACTCTATATACAATTGTGGTCGCTACATTACTTCACATGTCATTAATTTTTCGTGACAACGGACTATTGGACAAAGGTACTACGTCAATCCTTTTTGCAGCCTTTTCTCCGAGCATGCAATGAACTATGTCTTTTATACATGGACCAATCAAGCTCTTTGCTATGGTATGGGTTTCTGACGCTTTTGCTACTCAGTAGCTCACTCGGTATGATGACTCAAGTGCATTTTCGTTATCAGTATTTGCTTTGGATACAAAACTGGTAATGTCACTTTTCCACTCAGCTAATTTTCGCTTGAAAAAAATCAACAGGCTTGTCAAGTTGTGCGGGGTGCCAAGTTTTTAAGTGGCGCTGAAGTAGAGAAGGTTTGAGGCTGCTGTTTGCTAGAACATCACCACAA